GTCGATCGAATCGATTCGGTCATGGCATGAAAAAAGCTTCGAAAAGCATAGGTTCGCCTCCGCCCCCTGGCCAAAAAGGTTTGACAAGCTTCTTCGAAAATTGTTTTCGTTTGAAATTCGTCTTCGCCCCCCGGCCGAAAATGTCCAAAAATCGTCTTCGCCGCGAATTTCCTCTTCGAAAATCGTCTTCGCCAACAATAGGTCTTCGCCAACCCCGCAAATCTGACCCCCCCTGCTCCGTGTCAATGCTAATATGATTCGAGTTTATTCCGTTTGATTTTTTCGGATATTGATCCCGCATTGCATTCTGCGTTTTTTACTTTCATATACTTTCATTGGCATCGGCATAAATTTTGAAATTGTCATGCGGAAAGCTCTGCAATAATTTGGACTGCAAAGCTGCTGAAATGCATTGAGATGAGAAGTGAGACCGGGTCCCAACCGTTGAACCAACATGCACACGGCCTGCTGTTTTGCTCATTTCTTGACCCAAATATCGCCATCATTCCAAATGAGGCACGTCTGTGCTTCTAACTGAAGCTCTGCGCTGTAGGTAGCTTCCATAGAGTTATGTCGAAGATCCAGCCGGACACTGTTGGGTACGGTCTGGACATCCTTGTTTTGCACGAAAATACTTGCAGTGGGCAGAGACCAGGAAGAATCCCAAATGAGCGTGTTGCCTGTAACTTCGCCGACTCTCCGCGCAGTAGCCTTTATGTACCAGTCGCCCTGCAAAGCCTCATGAAGCGTCAAGTCGATGGTGCAAGCATCTCCACTTGGTAGGAGCCTCTCAATATCCACAATATCCTGTCCATCCAAATCCTCACCTTGGTGGCGAGCACAGCATTTTGCGTTCCCCATAAGCCGCGACACTTGCCTAGATGGCCAAGAACAGTATTACAATATGGCTTTGAATGAACTCATCTTGAATGTTTTGTTTGTGAAGTATTTTTCTATTTGTCGAATAACTCTCGTTTCACTGACAAGGCGATGCACATTTGCTGAGTCTCGTGGCCTTGCTATTTAATGAAAACGGCTGCGTGAAAACAAAAATGAGTGTCAGTGCCCCGCAAAATGTGCCTTGGCATGAGGTTCTATAGGGGCTTTAGTGATAGGGCATATATTGGGATTACATATGTGTCAGTATGTACCCCCCTTGAAGAAGTAAATGGAAAGTGAAACATATAATGCATAACGGGCTTATATGAGGGCTTCCTCAGTGGAAAACCTTTCAAAACATACTCATGGAACCCGTTGTCGGTTGCATCTACTAGCATGAGGCCTCCAACAACCCAATCACCTCCCCCTTAGAATGAACCCCCAGCCTCTCCAAGAAATATCCCCCTTGTATAAAATGGTACTAGATTTGGTATCCTTTTCATGAGGATAATCATTCTAAATCCCTGAATAAACCCAGGTTCAATTTCATGTTCTTTTCCACCTGATTCTCCATTATTGAGGACATTCCTAACCCCGCAGACTGGGACCCTAGGAAAAAATGGGAACCACGGGTCCTTGTTGGATGGGGGTCCTCTGAAAACAAGAGGTCCACGAAATTGAAATCATTCAGGGGGGAGCCCAAGATCTTGCTGAACCATACACAATGAATTGTGAGCCAATGTTGAGCCCATATAGTCTGTCATCTGCACGTCCGAGATGCGTACTTGGGGGCCCTGGCGGACTTAGTAAGTACACTCATAACCCTGAAGCAGAAGCCATATACTGAACCAAGAGATCGCCACAATCAACCTACTTACTGAGTTCTGCAGAAGAGTCTCCAAACACACCATCCCCAGCTCCTGTGACCTAGGGATTCTGCAGGTCCATGGCGCTTCAGGTATGTGGCGGTTCTTGCGTTTTGGTACGCCTTTAAGGCGTTGCATATTCCTGGCCTGTAATGCTCTCGCAAGCCATCGAATTGCAAGATCAAGGGTCATCATTTTTTGCAGAGGAGCTGTCGCTTTACAAGGATTTATTTTAGACTTAATTGTTGTCATCTTGTAAACCTACTGCTATTCTGTACAGGACTTGTTCAGCCCTCCTTTCTTCTAAACGCCTCGGTCCATTCTGCGGAGCTGTTTTGTTTGAGCGTGCCAGTTGTTTGCATGTGCTTGGTGCATCCCATGAGATTTAATCTCGGCCCCTTAGTTCGGTTGCACCACGGAAGATTGAGACAGGAGGCCCGAGTGCGAGGAAAATCATTGTTAGTACATTCATGCCAGTCGACTCGTTCCCTTGTTCCCCTGCTCTCCCAGCTGGCAATACGATTCGATCTGACTACTTTTTTTCTCAAGCCAGATTGGATGCCTGAACAAAGTTGTGAGGCTCAGGTAGGCCAGGGCTGCCACCTGTCTCCAGAGGTGCCTGGAGGAGTGAACATTCGCGTAGCCATGGAGAACTGGATGATCAATCCCACGCAGGGCTAGCATGCAGGCACGTCAGCCGTAGATGTTGCATGCTGTCCCATGCCTCTCCAGCAACAGCTAGATGCGGCTGCGGTGCGTCCTGGAGCTCAAGTGCTGCGTGGCAGCTGACATCACATTGCACTGGCACTGCTGGTTCGTGTGTGGTCCACGTCCGCAGCATCAAGACAGAAAGCGATGCAAGTCCAACAAGACATGCGCACTTTTTCCGTCCAAGATTGTATGTCTGGCCCAACCTTAGTGTGCAGAATAGCCATGCCGTAATGTGCTTCACTCCTCTGTCAGGTGGAGTGAGCTAAGATGCGTGCAAGCTTTACATCATGGGAACCATGAGTGGCCCTCCAATGCCATTTCCAAATTGGTCCGACGCTCTCAAAATTGAAGGCACGGAGCTCAACCTACCAGGCCTTCCGAGGGCGCTGCGCATCTAAATGGTCCAAGGCCACCAGGAGGGTATGGTTCAATGCTGAAATGTTGGCCTGCACGGCACTCCAAAGTTCAAGACTGCTGGAATGGCTCTGTTCAAACCTCTCCTGTTTCTTAGGGCCGTCTATGCGAAGCCGAAACAAAACACGCCTTTACTCCCAAATGCATGTGACTCCCCCCAGAAGCAGAAGTGCAAGTAGAGAAGGTCAAGCTCCCATGTCTCAAAAAATGCTACTGATCCAAGATGCTGGCGACAACATCCGATGACCACCATGTGCCAAGCTCCAAGCCGAGTGAAGGCCTGCACCGAGACGAGTGTCAAACCTTTCTGCTGAAAGTTGCTTGGCATAGTAAAGACACCTCTATGACCGCGAAACCCTTCATCCACATGAACTCGGGTGAAGTTCTTCCATCCAAATCACATTCTTGCTGCATGCAGGATTCCTCCACATTAATGACTGTGTCAGCAGAGCTTGGCCGAACCTGGACGGCAACGCTGCGGTGGGAAGTCCTGCTGCAGTCAATCCGCAACCCATGGAAGAGTCTTGGCCCCAAAGCAGGCCAACAGAAAACCAAACAGCGGTCGCTGTATGCCTTTGTGATTTGACAGGCTGCAGACAGAAGTCCTATAATGCAAATGTGATGAAGCCTCAGCAAGCCCGACCACAATTGCGTATCTGGAAGGTTAATGCGGAAAAAGAGATGCCAAGACTGAGCCGAGCACCCCATCAAGGCTGACAAGCCACCATACCTGCGAGAAACATAGATGGTATCAAATCCAACAAACTTCAACTCAAATAAGGCTGTGCGTGCACGCGGAGGCAAAACAGGAATATCTTGGAATTCTGCATAAAAAGCGACAAAGCTAAGCAGGCTGCGCATACATGGGAGTTGCATCCCATGCGATTGTCTCACCTCCAGTTTACAGCCAAGTATTTCCTTAAAGCTCGATGGCATGCTGTCATCTAGGGCACGTGCCTGGCTTGACGCGGCAAAGCTGCTGGTGAAGAACTTGCATGTGCGGCATGAGCTCCTCACAGAGCTGTGATCGCATTTCCTCTTCCAGGTTCTGGGCCTCTGGGAAGTTTCCAGCAAACGGAGCAGGGCACACAGAGCCTGGGGCTCCGACAATCATTACGCTGCCAGCCTGAGGCGCACTGCTTCAGGCTGCGGTTCTAAAAGCTTTGCAAGCAGGACTGAAATCCTTTTTTCTGTATGGTCAGTCCACAAGGCGATGTTTGAGATGGAGCGGGATCTCAAAATAGACGCGAACGGGATGCCCATTCATGGGCTTCCCATCGCCTTGCAACACTAGCTCAGCTGACGTCACGTCGGCAAAGTCTGCATATGCATGCCCTTTGGGTCGTGACGTGATTGGATCGAGTGCAACTTCAATTCGATTGGCTTTGGGCGCGCCCCTTTGCTTGATGAAGAGCTTTAACTGCTCTGTTATGTTCTCCTGTGAAAGGGTGTTCTGCAAACCCTCAAACCGGATGCGGTGTCTATGATCCTCAATGGAATCTGTAGTTTCCAGGGCTGGATGCGTTGGTGGGGCTGGCTGGCCAGCAGGTGGGCTTGGCAGAGCTGCAAGCTTCTTACTAACTAACTTCCGAGCAATCATGTGCAGGATGTCGGCATCCTCACATAAGTCCGAGGGCTTCATGCCATCTGCGTTCTCCCGGTCGATGCGGACATTCAGCTCCATCAGCAGGGCTACCACCTCACGATCCCTGTTCAGAGCTGCATAATGTAGAATCCCATTGTTTTGAGCATCCACTGTCTCCAGATCTGCTTTGGCGTCGATGAGGATTTGAATGATGTTGGAGCTGCGGTTCAGCACTGCAAGCGCCAGTGCGCTTCTTGACTCGCAGTCAACCTGCTTCAGAACCTTTCTGGCGATACTGGGGAAAGTTGTCCTCAGATTCCGAAATGCGTTTGCATGTGAGATCGCCACCGTACCGTTGTCACTGTTGTACTAATATGCTCATCAAAAGGGATCAGTCGTAGACCTAGATCAGCCACAGAACCAGAAGTGCAATCACTCATGGCATGTACACTGCTACCATCATTCTACGATTCCGCAGGAGAACTGGCGGAAGACAGAATTGAATATGGGGGATCCAGAACAAGGGGCCCCCATATGGACCCAATGTATGATACTTCCTTTTGTAGGCACTGCTCGTTTTTGGAACCTCCTATGACGGCCCAGGCACTTGATGAGTCTGGAACGTATCTCAGTGGCTGTCTCCAGCAAAGCCCTTGAATGCTCACCTCGTTTCTCGCGAACATCCTTCCGCCAGCTGAAGGATTCTCAAGGGGTCACGTAGGGAATATGCAGGAGTCAGGGGGTAATGTCCCAATAACAGACAATTAGATAGTGAATAATAGGCATGATTCAGGGTTGTCCATCCCAGGATCTCTCGAATAATACTGCTAGACTGAGGAAATTTCTTGTGATGTTATGAACAACCCAGGAATGGAAGATTCACCTAGACTTTGAGTCACAAGCCCCCACGCTCAGTCCTTAACCACCTTCTTCCGGCTGCCGACCTTGGACTTCGGCGTAGGTGCAGCCGCCTCGAGATCATCTTGAAAAGAATGAGGGCGACGATTTGGAGTTCAGGTTTGCTGGGATGCCTTCTGATGTATCTTCGTGGGGTTGCATGACGCGCCATGCCCGTCAAAATAAATAACTAGTTCAAACTCCTTTGCTGCGACGCTGGCCAAGTTACAGCTTTTGCGGATGCAGATGAGGATGGCTTAACACTGCCTCGCGGAGCTGGCGTGGATTTCGAGCCAGTTGCGCCTTTTGCTCGTTCTGGCTGGAGATTCTTGCTCTTCTTTGGCTTCTCTGGAGAAGCAACACCTAACAAGAATACACAGGCAAAGGTTGGCAAAGGCCGAAGGCTTTTTCTCTGACCCAAAGGCACTCCCAAACTCGTTGCTGTTTGCAGCTCGGAGGCTGGCCTGGAAATGAGGCAACTTCGGGGGAGGCGGAACATCTGATAACCTTGGCAGTACAAGCCTCATAAGCTTGAGACTGCCGGCTGAAAGCATGAACGGCACTAAAAGAAATGGAAGGAACCAAGGGCACCTATATAGTGGCTGCAGTAAGGTGATTCGGGTATCACAGTATCACCCCATAACCTTTCCGCACGTAAGAGTATGCATCTTCGAAGTGGCATGACTTGGACAGCCATTTCGCGCTGATATGTCACTGCCAGAAGGAATGCAGTCAACCCTGAGTCATCCTCGACAACCTTGTCAGGATCGGCCTTGTAGAACAAGAGCGTTTGCAAGGCGACCGTCTGCCCATTGGCTGCAGCCATGTGGAGGGCCGTGCGCAGCTCCACATTCAACTCCTCAATGTCTGCATTTGAGGCGAGGAGAACCTGAATCATGGCACCATCGTTGTACTGCGCTGCGATGTGAAGCGCTGTCTCCCCAACATATGTCCGGGAGGTAAAATCACTGCCGAGGTAGTGCAAGTTGCAGAGTGTCTCAACACTTCCAGACTGGGCAGCCCAGTGAACAGGAAGCCAACCGCTCCTGGCGAAGGTCATGATAGCAGCATTGCACTTCAGCTTTTTGAATCGGTTCTGAGTCGGACTTCGCAACATCAACAAAACACAGCTAAGAAAGGGCGCCAACGCTTGCGTCAAGGTGTACGCCAGGACACTCATCCCGAGCATCCAGGTCAGCATTCTTGTCGACCAAATTCCTGATCATTAAATCAAACTTCGAACAACAAACCACATCTCACATGGGTATGCGAGATTGCAAGAGTACGTCTCAAAGTAACCTAGGCCTTTACCCTAAGCGCCATGGGTACGGGTCAAGCCTACGTGCCTCTTACATATGATCTAGTATAGGATAGTCAAGATGTGAATTCCCTAAGCTAGAAGTGCAAAACGCCTCGCCCCAAAGAGCATTAAATCACCAGGCGTCGTCACAGCCTGGGAACACCCGTGACGCGCAGCCCAGAGAAGAGCAGTTCGCCTCGCCTCGTCCCGGACGTTGACCTCGATACAGTGGCAAAACACATCATAAGTCGAGGCTCTGTGCCATGCTCTGGATTCTGCGGTTGGAAGCTTTCAGTTGCATCTGAAGTGCTGACATGTTTAATTCCTGCTTGCCTTGCGTTGCATGGCATTACCTCGGCCTAACTTTAGCTGGAAGGAACGTATCCCATGTTGTGTCGCTTGGGCGCGACCGAATGACCCCTCGTACCACCGGCAAGAATAAGAAGTCGCTTGCAGAGCAAAGCTCACCTTCAGAAGTAAGGTTTTGCGGGGAGCTCTTGCCGGATGGCGTTCGCAAAGTGAGCACGTTACGAAGGCTACCGCTTGAAAACGAGCGGGGTCACGCTTCCAACTTCAAAAGTAGGCCATCTCCCTGAAGCTGTGGCGCGTGGAAAAATGGTCGCAAAGAGAGTACTCTGACTTTGGGGCTTCCACAGCGTGCTGCACGTGTCAAGACTCCAGGGCTTGGCGCCGCGGAGGCACGGCAATGTGTCTAGCATGTGCTACACCCACAACAAATCGGGGGTTCCCAAAATTAGGGGTACCTTTTTGGGGGGTCCCCATAATAAGAACCTGTTTAGGGAAACTACCAAATCAGGCCACGAGGATGTCAAACGAAATCTTTTCTTCTTGCCAATATCCTCTGCAATACAAGCCGCCCAAGCCCCAATGGCCAACTCGGCATCAATTTCTTGCCAGCGCCCAGCCTTGCAACAAGCGACGCTTCAAGCTGTTACCATACCCCTCTTCCAGTTGGCAGGTGCACGGCCTCGCAACCCCGAAAATCAGCGGGGCTCGACTAGCTCAGCTTTATTCTATGTCAAACAGCATGAAACCCATTCCGCGACTCAGCTCACGTCCGGCCTTCGCATGTTCGAGCAGGCGCTCGTTGCACCCAACAATTTCCACCACAGAGTCCCCCACTGCTAAGTGATCCGTGCTGAGCATTTGCAGCACCTCACCCCGCTCATCGATCAGATTGGGGTTGGCACCATGACGGATGACAAGCTGGACCATGTCTAAAGACTGATGAAGCGCTGCCCACATCAAAGGGGTCCAGCCATCTTCATCTTCTACGTTCAAATTGGCCCCTTCTTCTATAGCTCGTTTCACGCCTTCGATGTCATTGTTCCTGGCTGCTGCTTGTAGCTCCTCATTCACCTCCTGGACGGCTGCGATCATGCTGCGCATTTCCAATTGCTCCTGCGCATGGTCATAGACTGTGAGGCCGGCTTCATCTGCTTGGAGCAGGTTCAGACCATTGGCCAGAAGAGTCTCCACCATAGACAGGTGCCCATGGCGCGCAGCCCACATGCACGCAGTGCGACCCTCGTTGTCCTCAAATGACGCGGATGAGTGTAACTTTTGGAAGTGTTGGACCCTTGCGCGAAGCCTCTTGCGCGACCCAGACTTACATCTAAGCAAACATTTAGGAGCCCTGCCAGCCTGTTTGGGTGTAAACCTCTTGCCCAATGCCGTTGTAAAGGTTTCTGTTCCACTGAACATTTTGTAATGAAATAGCCAAGGCACAGCTTTGAGGTAGTTTGCGCTGGAGGTCAGCAATGCAGTTGCCACGTCCTCGCAGCCGTTAATGGCACACCAGATCAGCGCTGTCCAGCCATTGTTGTTTACCTGCAAAACCAAGGCACCACCCACTCATGGCTCTCGAGCTCCGACAATACACACCAACTTCCAAAACTTTGCTATTCGCTGAGTTTCTGAATTCAGGTTGGCCTTCTTGGCCACCAGGTAACTCGCTGCGCTGACATTGTTTTGTCGTGCGGCGCACATTAGTGGCGTGTTGCCTGCATTCTCGCCAGGTCAGTTGCAAAATGGCAAGTTTGGATGAATCGGAGGTTTTGGGGAGAGTTGGCTTTTACAATACATGGTGGCCGTGTGTGGTGTGCTAGTCTGCAAGTGGCTGCTCGTGATACTCCTTCTGGTGATGATAGCACTGGGTTGTTGGTAGCTGTCAGAAGCAGGCCTTCGCTGCATGAGGTGTCAAGATGTGCCTTTGCATCAACCAGCAGCTTAACCAAATGGGAGGAGCCCAAATGTGCCGCAAAGTGCACCGGAGTCCAGCCGAAGGCTTTGTCCTTGATATTGACCTTGGCGTCTGACAGAGGTGGTTTGCAGGCAGCTCAGCTAGTATCCTGATTCGTACTATTGCTATTTCATATTCTTGCCTTTTTGAGGTTTCTCAGCTTCTGGCCTCTTTTTGCCCATCTGGGTAACCCAGCCAATCAGATACCGCTTTGTTCTTCTTCTCCTGCAAGCAAGTCTGCATGTGCTTGAAGGGCAGCTTGTTTTGTCACTTGGTCTATCTGTGATTCTGCACGCTGCGCAACACAAAGGACAGAGGACACTTCTAAGCTCAGTATCTACAGGATTTCTCGCGTTATACGCGACCAAAGACAGGACTCAGGGAGCTAGGACAGTATCCTGAACAATTCTCTGACGATCAAAGTAGTGGACCGCAAAGCTGTACTCGAGTGCCCGGAAAGTGTGTAAGGATGTCGGCACATGTCTTGGCCACGTGCCCTGAGCTATCCGTCCTGCAGCAGGAACCAAAGCCGTGTTGACTCTGCCGATGGCTTCTCTGCTGCCAGCCGCTCCAAACGCTCACCTCGTTTTGGAATTACCCGAAATGTAGCTGGCAACGCCAGCTACCGAGCAATCTTGTAGTTAGAACAGCAACAGAAGCAGCAGTAGCGGCAGTGTTGTACAAAGATCTGCTTCAGCAGCCGCACTAGAAGCAGCAATGGCATTGTGAAACTACGCATGTCATAGCAATGATGTTGTACTTAGAACGAAGCAGTAACACAATCGGCGCGGAGCGGCGCTGGCGGTGGTGGTGGCGGTGCTGGCGCTGATGCTGGAAGCGATGGTACTGGTGCTAGTGCTGCTGGTGGTGATGCTGCTGCTGCAGTAGCTGCAGTAGCTGCTGCAGCTGGAAGTAGAGATGGAGGTGGCCGTGGCCGCGGCGGCGGCAGCAGCTGCGGCGGCGGGGGCGCCGCTGCTGCTGCTGATGGTGCGGGTGGTGGCTGCAGTGGCAGGACAGCAGCATAAAACCAGCAGTAGCAGCTTCAAGCTTGCAGCATGTTCGGAGCCATACCGCACCCCGGATTCTCTAGATGAACCTCAAACCTTTGCTGCTTCGCAGCTTTTGGTCAGCTTCGCGTTGGAAGGGTTGGAAGGACGGCGCTCCTCTTGAGGAGGAGGCGGCGGTGGTGAAGGTGCATCAAGGTCCCCATCGTCCGAATCATCCATGGCACTTTCACAAAGAACTTACTGCGTCCAGCGCCTATGAGATGGAGTACTGCAAAGTAATCTGGAATATAACTGGGATCAGCAAACAATGTCATGCAATGCCAGAGTTAGGTTTATGAAAAGACGCACGCTCACCACACGATGAGCGACGAAGAACTCATGCAGAGTCACTTACTACTCTCTCGGCGCAAAAATGGTGTGAAATGATTGCATTGTTGCCTGGAAGCAAAGGGGTGAAACTGCCGCCTGCACATCTAGCTTGAGACAAAAACACACGCATTCCCTCATGACACGAGCGACAGCATGCTCATGGCTTAGTCCTTGGTCCTTCGAGGAATCTAGAAACACAAACGCCGCATGTTTGCCTCTAGGTTTGATGCACAGTCGCAAGTTCACGTAGGACTCTGACTGGCATGAAAGCTGCCCAGGCAAGTCCGGCACCGTGAGCTCCTGCCACTGTCGTCTAACCATCAAGTTGACTGCACCCCGGATTGCGTCGCTAAGGGAAAGAATGTGGATAAGACAGCCCAAATCCACAATCTGCCGGCATGTTTGCAGCTGTGGCCTATAAGGATGTCTGCCGAGGACGCCAGTTGCCACTGTTGCTGCACGTCTGACCTTGGTCTCGAAGTAGGCACTGTCTCACACTTGTTGACTTAGTCTTGGGAGAATTTGGGAGCCCACTTCATCTCCTGCCAGTGCAAGAAGCACTAAAGTCTTGCTGCTTCTGCTGCTAGCTGGCCTGGTCTGCGAAGTCTTTCCATACCGCGATTGCTCCTGCATTGGCCAATTCGGGGTCAAGCTGCTGAGTCGCGGCATGTCGCGGATAAGGCCACTGCGTCTGCGAAGAAGCCTTGAGCACAACCTAGGCTGCACAACAACTGGCTGCTGGGCGTAGAAGCAGTCAAAGTTTGAATGTCCAATTGGCGTAGGAGTCCACTCTGCTTCACAGACATCTACGACCGAGACAGACTGAGCCAACGACAACTGAATAATTTGATTGCAATTGGCAAGCGCGCGTCGAGCCTCACAGCTTCCCCTTAAAGCCGCGACCTCTATGTGGTTTTGGGGGTCGCGCCTCCTGAAGACAGGGATCGTTACTACAACGATTACCCAGCTACTCGCGCAAAAAAGTAAGTAACAAGTTCCAACCGCGTCGTCCAATCTAATGTTGAGACTTCAATGGCACAAGGCAGACTAGTGTCTGCAGGCAGTGTCAGATGTGCGTGTCCCCTCAACAGCGCAAACATGCATCATGTATTTCCTAATGCACCTTGCTGTGTGAAGCTTGCAGGCAACGAGGCCGCATGAATTCTCTCCGCGGAAGGGCCCTGACTGGAATCCGCCGCTCGATCAACAGAATCCGCCATCTTTGAAGGTCCACCTGCACGGATGCCAAGCCTTGCTTTTATAGTCTGGTGGGGGAAGGCTACCTGTCGACTCAAATTTCCATGGCATGGAACGCTCCAATAATGGCTTGACAATTGCTCGCCAATGTTTTCAGCATTGGGGGCACTTGCCCTTCAAAAAAAGACAAGGAGGTATGTAGGATTTTATCGTGAGAGCGTTCTACCGTGCATTGGAGTTCTTCTGGCATCCTCAAATAGCGACAGCTGCCCTCAGCCAGCAACATCTGCAGCCTCTGCATTTTGCAAAGGGCTCCTGCCACGTTCTACAAACCGAGCACTCATGCCAGCTATGTCGGAACGTAAAATCAGATCGCGACCTTATCTAGACGGAGGCCTGGTAACCCAGAATTGTGCACACGAGAAAAAAATGGCTCGAGCCTTGTCATGCGGAGGAAGAGCGGATGCGTTTGTGACCTTGCCGTCCTGGGGGCTGGGAGGGAGCAAAAGTCAACGAGGAAGCCGCGCACGGCGCAAATCTCAACAAGCTCAGCATTCAGATTTGCAGAGCGTGGCGAAGCTTCTTAAATTCTGAGGTCCGCTTTTGGATCAGGTAAGTCACCCACACGCGGGTGAGTGCGGAACGGGCTGTTGCAGTACCTGGAGACCCCATGTCAATCTCCCTACATGAAAGGGCGACGTCTTGCGCAACATCCCTCTGCTGAGGCAGCAACTCAAGCCGCCCTTGTCTCTGCCTCAGTAAGGCAAGGAATCCAGCTGCCCAGAAGCTTGGTAGATTCTTGAAAGAAGTAGCACAGCGATGCCTAGGCCACAGGCCAAAAAGCGTCACTCCTCTATAGCCCCAATACCTCAGCTTGGTCAACCCAAACTCAAAGACTTCCCTGCCACAACACTTGTCATGCAGGCCCTTTACGAGTCAAAGTATTGCACCAGGACATGGACACGTTCCAGAAGCAGCGTTTGGAGGGCTGACCTCTTGCAAGCCAATCCTTTCGAAGAAGGCCACAGAAGAGATCAACTCGTGCAAGGCTGATGCCAACATTGGCCGCTCCGAGGAGAAGAGGTGTCCTTCAAAAAGGGGCAAGCCCAGATTTACTGCTCAACTGTTCACAAGTCAACTGTGCTCAAGCTATCCTAAGGCTGAGGAGCTTCAGGAAAGGCCAAGCGAAGCTTTGCCCTGCAGATGAGAGGATAAAAGCAGGATCAGCATGCAACTTTTTACCAAAATGCTGGAAGGTGGAGTAGATACGGTGGTCCCCTCTCATGCCTCCCTTGCTGCATACTACACTAGCATTGCATTTGCATATGACAAAACGTTTTGCGCTCAACTCGTAGAGTGTCCAGCACAAAGGTAGCCAGCATGAAAGGCTCCCCTGCAGTTTGTGATCTCACAGCCCTGGCTACGAATATGTTTTGGAGAGCTGCCGGAACGATGGATGATCTCTCCCCCTCTAGCTATCATTGTACAACTGAGGTGTCCACTCAAAGGAATACAAGCGGTAGTTTCCCAAAATAGGGGGACCTCGTTATAAACCCATAAACCTTATTATAGAGACCCCCTAAAAGGTACCCCTAATTTTGGGAAACCCCAAAGTTCTGCCTTCCATCACGCCAATGCCTGAGGCCAGCACTGATAGCATCTAGTGGCGACCTTGCAAACGAAGATGAAAGTATATCAAACTAGGGGTACCTCTTTGGGACCCCTATAATAAGGATGATAGCATGTTGGCGTCTATATTGGGGTGGGAACTACCAAAACAAACTTCACCTTATCATCAAATGCGCTGGCGAGCAGCCCAAAATGCGGGCACTTTTTTTGCACTGACATGGCTGCCAGAGTTATTGGTTTGCCAAGGGCCACTTGCTGCCATGAAACATGACAGACTTTAAGCCTTAGAAATCTATAAACTTATGAGCGTTTACAACACATGTTGCCCTTGTATTTGAGAGCCAGAAGTAGGACGCCCCAATGAAAGCTCGGCCTGCAGCTGCAAGGATACGATGCAGCACCCGACCGAACCCATATCGACAAGAGGGGTGCAGCCAAAGCCTGTGTTCAGCCTTGGGCGGTCCCCAAAGGTCTACTCGTGGTGACAGCAAGTCCATCCCGTTTGGGATGACCTGGCAACATCCGGATATCAATGTTCACACGACTTTTTGAGTTGATGCCTCCCAGCAGTCTAGCAGCTAGGAATGTCAGTGGCTACGAATGCTTGGATGCAGCAGCTCGGCTAAAATACCTGTGCTCACATCACATCACAAACAGCCGGTTTCCTTGGTCAACAGCAGGGGGAAGGGTCATCAGAAATGGCAAGCCTTGTCTTTCTGACTGCCAGCTTGTATGGAACTAGAAGTCATCACCGGGCACCCTGCTCCTCCCTCTGACGCTGTTCCGCCAACATCTGAGCATCTCTAAGGCGTCCCTCCAACTCCTCGTACCACGCTGCATGCGTAGGAGGGCGCAGGCTCAGGAGGCAGGATTCCTTTCTTCTCTCGGCTTAGGTCTACATTCGGCACGCTGACAAGCAGAAGCAGCGCACGAAGCCTCGGTTCCCTTGCTAGCTGTTTATTGAAGTGATGTGTGCTTCTTCTCCGAATTATGGACTCAGAACCCTGGTACCAAACTGAAAGCCCCCGCACGAGACCAACTGCATCAATCCTATCCGTCCATTGAAGAATTGAATGAAACTGCAGCTGACAGAACTTATGTGAAAACCTTTGCCTGTGGTGAGTTTGCCGAAAAAATCAACATGCAACTTAAGTCAGATTCCGAAAGCATTGCAGGTTCCTCGTTCTTCTTCTCCAGCTCTTCGCCAGCCTTCACCTTCATCTCCAGATACAAGATGTGCTGATGAGCCTCGCCAGAACAGAAGCGTGTTGACGATTCAACTCCCAACGGCCACATGAAGTGGCAGCATGGCGGAGTGTGTGGGCACTTCGCGAGATGCGAGAAGCAGTTCACTGGCACAAATGATTGGCCTGCTCCATGTCGGCGTGCTTCACCTCTCAGAACGTGGCTACTAGTGGGGATGGCAAATCTGCACGACGTGGGTTAAGCCTTTGGACCTTCTCTCTTTTGCAGCCACTGGCTCGCAAAGAGAAGTCCTGTGGGTGGGAAATCCCGAATTCAAAACATGTGCCTATTGGGGAACGGCAGGCACTTAATGTCACACAGCTTTGTGACAGTCTTGAGCTTGCGCCGTGCAACGTTTGGCGGGGCCGGGGCCGGCCTCACCAGGCTCCACATCATCGATGTGTCCGGGAAGGTTGGCCTTGCGTTTGGATTTCAGCGCAACACCATCCCAAATTTAAGCCTGAAGATCTGAAATGACGGGATCACATTACGACTCGGAGCGACTGCGACATGGCAGTGCCTGGCAGGTCTGTTGGCAACCTGAAAAATCATCTGCTGCCAAGGCGCATGTCGGCCCTCAATGCGGTTCAGCTTGTGCTGTAGCTGCTCCTGCCGCAGCTCAGCTCAATTTACTAGCCGAGCTCTGGTATGCAACCATGGTTTAGCTACCCTACGAAGCCTAATGAAGCGAATATCCAAGATGCAGTCCTTGTCTTGAAGAATCTTGAAGACTTGCCCTCGTGCTTTGACCAGCTCAGCCTTCACCTGCACAGCCAAACGTCATGGGCAAGAGAAATGGGATTGCTGGAGCGACATGTCAGGAGCAGCGAAGAAGGGCATACAGCTGAACTTTCCTTTCAAGAACATCTTTGAGCTACAAGGGCGGCGGTTATGTTTGGATGGTAATTGCTCAAAGACTTCGATTGAATACCGACATTTTGAGTTGTAGTCATATCTTTGAAGCACATCGGGTCGATATTGGGCATCCTCACGCGTGTAAGCAGCTCACTTCACCTGAGCTGCTGCTGCCGCCTGCATTGCGTTTCCAAAGGCCCAAATTTGTGTTTTGCTGCAGCTGGATACCCTTGCCGCTCCTTAGTCGGGAATATGGAAATATGCTATATAAGGTTTATGTAGGAATTGTATTCCCTTGTTCCTTGTTCCCTACTAGGAAGCAGTAAGCCTTTCGGATCCTTTCCACACCCCCAGACTGACATCTTAGTGCATCGGTGCTGGAGCCACACCTCTTCCAGCGACCCACCACGCACATCCAGCCAAGGCTCATCTGACTTGACCTCAAGCAAATGAGTTTTCGGCGGGACAGCTGAGCGAAGTTAACTGACGAAGCTATCCGATCCATGCATTCCACAACTTCTCCGTACGAGAAAGCTATTTGGCCATTCCCGGCCTCCTTTGATGGCGGTGGCTTCGCAGGTGCTGGTGGGTCAGCCTGCTGTGGTTGTGCCCCCGCTTCTTTCGGGGGCGGCGGCTGCGACGGTGCGGGCGGCGCCCCTGGCGCAGGCGGCTGCTGCGGTGGCGGCCCTTCAGACGGATCAGGCGGCGGAGGCGGCGCGTCCTGCCCAAATCCGGCTTTGCACAAGAAAGTTCAAAGGCGAGGGAGCTGCCCAAGAAGGCGCACATGTTCGCTAACACTTGCAGGACGCTTTTTTCCGCTTCTTCTTGTCGACGGAGGCTTCTAGATCAGCCTCGGTGTCTCCTGCAGGGCCATGCTTCAAACAAACACTTCCTTTGCAGGATTAGGTGCTCAGTGCTCTGTGCCGCACTAGCTTAGCTTCGTGGACTGCGCTCAAAGTAAGGCATACTCCGCCTCCGCATCCCAACCCCGTGTCCTTGACATTGACCATTGTGCGCTGGATTGGGCCAATAGCCGTAGCCGCCATAGCCATCACCCCAGCTTCCGTTACAGTATGAAGACTGCTCATTATCCTGACTCTGGGTATCTTTGATGCTGCGCTTCTGTGCCTGGGCCAGCTCCTCCTGCTCCCTGACCAAACCCAGGACGTCCAGGCCATCCGCAGCCAGGCGCTTGACGACCTCTTCGAACTGATCGAGCCACTCAATCATGGCTTCCCACAGCCGGGCCCCATCCTTGTAGTCTTCGGGTATACGCTCGTCGGGCCCGTCCTGCCGGAGCCTCGCACGCAAGCCGGCGATATCCTTGGAGGGCATCAAAACAGCATCTTTGTCTTGTGTAAATTAATCGTTAGTCCTTGTCAGCTTCAAAAATCATGTCGCTGCTTGTTCACCAAGGTTCCTCGGATGAGTTTACCTGTAGCTTAGCCTCGCCCTTCTGTTCCTGGTAGAGGAGATCCCAGGGCTTGATCGAGGTACCTTTGGACAGGAACAAGGCTTGTGTGAATGCGGATGTCTTGGAACCTGTAATTTAGAACTAGGTGCCTGAATAATGAAGGACAACCGCCCCCTTGTGACCAGCTCCATTTCGGATGTCCTCATGCGCCATAGAGAAATCATGCGGGACTCTTTCATTCTTGTCGATCTCGAAATTGTATCGACAAGAGATGTGCGTCCATTCGTCGAACGTGCCATAGAATCGTGACAGGTATTCCTGCTCTGGCATGTATGTCTCGTAGTGTTCAGGGTGGTCATAGTCGTGGATCTCAGCCTCCATGGCTTCGAACACGGACTGGTCGGGCTTGAGCAGCATGACCCCAGCCTTACCGGTAAGATTTTGTACAGCCAGTTGCTACAACAGTGAGTTCAGCGCCTATGCTATACTCAGAAATTCGCTTTGCACCCCATCACTGAGGCTGGGGCGTTGATGCCAGAAGCTTGCTGATGCTGAGGCAGGGAATCTGTCGCGCGTCTGGTAGGATGACCCCACAGAGTCGCGTACGGAATCAGCTGTCCATGACTCATCACAGGCTCACCGCGCTTCATTGCAGCTGGCGCTCGCAACTCAAAGAGCTCGCTCAGGCTGCCCCGTACCAATATGTCTAAGTCAAGGAACAAAACCTTCTCAAATTCCATTTGCTGCAGAGCGCGCAGTTTTGTGAATACGCTGAGGAAGCGGCTGTAGTAGTATTTTTTGAACAAGGCCTTTGCCACCCCCTTGTGAAGATAGCCAACTTCTTTGCAGACCCACCCTGCTTTGCTCAAAGAGGTAATATATGTCTTTGGGACGTCCCATGTATGCAAGAGCAACAGTGGCACATCCTCCCGTCCATTGGCGAACTGCCGCAGACCCTCAGCAACCACCAGTGCACCCAGGAAGTATTTGTCACACTCTTTTCCATACAGCAGGGTGGCATACGCGTGCTTCGTGGTCAGGCTGGGGGCAGCTTTCGGTGGCTCGTCAACAGTAGCTGCAACTGCGACAGGTCTTCGGCACCAGGGGCACCCTGCTATGAAGTTTGGGCTGTCATCATGGTGTTCCATGCGCACCTTTCGGCAGTGTGACTTGAACCGGGGCCGAGGTGCGGTATACTGTGGCACGTGATCCTTGTCGCACCAAGCCTCCAAAGACGCGCTCAGTGCGAACTTCGCCAGCAGCTTAAGCAGCAGTTGGCGCTGGTCCGATTCTGCGAGGCTTTCCACGGACATTAACACTGCTTTCAACTCCATGCTGATGGAACTCCGAGGCCACGAAGTTGCTATGGCCCATGCAGACAAACGTAAATCATGAAAAATCCAAAGCGCTGGATTTGAAGATTACGCCAAATATCTTGATTTCTGAGGCGTCTTTATTGGGCATCTACATGTTGCGACCGGGGCTTCAATACTGCCAAACAGCTATCCAATGGCAAGGCTATTTTGCA